AATAGATGACTGGGACCTCTTAAAAATCAGACACCATGTGCATTAAAAGATTTTGCCAGAAGACTGGGAAAAAAAATTTTTTTTTTCAATGACATGTCAGTCAAGGGACTAACTAATCTCTAAAATGTATAGAAAACTATAACACCTCTACACGAAAAAGACTAACAACCCAATTAAAAATGGGCACAGGACATGAACAGACACTTCACCAAAGAAAACACTCAGGTAGCCCACAAACATGAAGAAATGTTTTTGATCACTGGCCATTGTTGTTGTTTTTGTTGTTAGGTGCCATCGAGTCAATGCTGACCCATAACAACCTTATGCACAGCAGAACGAAACACTGCCCGATCCTGGGCCAACCTCACTTTTGTTGCCACGCTTGAGTCCATCAATGCTGCCACTTGGCCAATCCATCTCGTTGGGGGTCTTCCTCTTTTTCTTTGACCCTCTACCTTACCAAACAAAATCAAAACCACAATGAGCTATCAGCTCACACCAGCATTAATAGCAAAGCTTAAAAAAAAAAAAACACACAACACATCACACAAAACAAATGCCCGTGAGGATGTGCAGAGACTGCGACCCTCGTATATTGCTGATGGGACTGTAAAATGGTACAACCACTGTGGAAAACAGTATTGCACTTCTACAGAAAGTTGGAAATAGAAATCCTGTATGACCCAGCAATCCCTCCTCTTGGTATATAGCCACAAGAAGTAAGAGCCAGGACATGAGTAGGTATACATACACTGATGCTCATCGCAGCACTAGTCACAGTAACAGAAAGATGGTGGTGGTATGCCGTGGAGTAGGTTCCAACTCATAGCGACCCTGTACAGGGTTTCCGAGGCTGTAAATCTTTAGAGGAGCAGAAAGCCTCATATTTCTCCCATGGAACAGCTGGTAGTTTTGGACCGCTGACCATGGGGTTAGCAACACGACTCGTAAGCTACCAGAGCTCCTTACCAAAAAGATGGAGACAGTCTAAATGCCCATCATTGGAAGAGTAGATAAATCAACTTTGGCCCATACACACAATGGAATCATATGCAACACTGAAGAATAGCAATGGATCTGTGAAACACCTCACAACATGAATGAACCTGGAGTGAAATATAGCATACAAAATAATAAAATGACAAATATCATTGAGACCATTATTGTAAAAGCTCAATCAAAGGTTTTCATACTAAAGGAAACTTTCTTTGATGGTTCTAGGGGTGGAAAGGAAGGGAGAGTAATTCACTAGCTAGAGAGTAGACACGTGTTAACTCGGGTGATGGGGAGGGTAATATTCGAAAAGGAAGGGCAATCTACAAGAAGAAGGAGGTTGGTAGAATAATGATGAAAATAAGTGAAGACACAGGTATGCAAGGGCTAAAGGGGATACTGTTGTTGTTGTTTGGTACTGTGGAGTCGGTTCCAACTCATAACAACCCTGTATAGGGTTTCCAAGGAGTGGCTGGTGGATTTGAACCGCTGATCTTGCAGTTCAAACCAACATTGCAGTCCAATGTTTATCCTACAGCACCACACCAGGCCTCCACAGGGGATTGCTGAGTGCCATTGAGTCAGGATCCAACTCATAGCGACCCTGTACAGGAGGGATAGAGATAGTGATGTATATACAACCTTGGGAAAACAGTGTTCTGTGTGTAGATACATGGACAGAGACGCAGGCTGAATGGGTATGGAAGGCAAAGTGGGATATTTATGTATTTATATATGTCACAAATATATAAATAAATATTTGAAAGAGCATATTTGTATATGGGTAACCACAGGGAGGAAGCAGGCCAACTGTTGTTGCATGGAGGGGATTGTAATCATTGAGATGAAACAGAGTTTATGATTTGCTGAATGTAAAGCTGATGATCTTGTCCTAAACCTTCACTCAATTCACAATACAAAGTTGGTTTGTTTTGTAAAACAAGAAAATTGCAGCACACAATTTTCAACCAAGCATTAGATGGTATATAGGGGGGGACAACAATATTAGGGAGGTCTGCACACCATCGAATGGTGAACCATTTGAGATCCAAGGGGCAGTGTTTACCTAAGGACAGAATTGAGAAGGACAGTGAAGAGGGATTCACAGGGAGGAAGTGGAATCAATGATGGCACATTGAGGGGTTGCAGTCAGTGACAGGAAACAGAGTGTATGACGTGTTGAATGTAAAACTGATTATCTGCTCTGTAAACCTGCACTCAACTCACAGTAAAAAGTAAACGAAATATTTTTGTTGAATAAAGGTTTCTATGGTTTTGTAGCCATATCTTTTGAGTTGCCTTCATATTTCTGTGTGCTGCCTGTCAGCAATCTGATTTTAGAAATGCCTGAACTATTGAGAAACTTCTTTACAATTCAACTTAACTTAGGCTGCATAGTCTTCAAAATCAGTTGGAAACCTGTAATCAAATTATTTCATAAACGTAGCATGAAAATTCAACTTTTGATGCTATTAGCAAATTGTAGCTATGTAAAACAAAGCTTGCAAAATGGAAGATGCTTATTTCTCTCCCTACAAAATTCAGATAAGAATTGAAGAAATCTAAAAGTGAGGTCTTGAATGCTTTAGTTACCCTGAATTTTGTAGGGAGAAAACATAAGCATCTTCCATTTTGCAAGCTTTGTTTTACATAGATACAATTTGCTAATAGCATCAAAAGCTGAATTTTCACGCTACGTTCATGAAATAATTTGATTGAAGGTTTCCAACTGATATTGAAGACTGTGCAACCTAATGTTAACTTGATTTGCAAAGAGGTTTCTTAAAAGTTCAGAATTTGGAGAAATCTTTACTTTGAACTCCTAGTTTTTAGTGGATACGTTTACATTTTCCACCAAAGTGGAATAAAACTGTGAAGGCCTACAATTTTATGCACTATCTACATTTCATAAAACATTAAAAAGAATCCCAAATACAGGTGATTAAAAAAAAAACACTGCAGTCTTATAAAAATGTTGATTGAAGAAAGGTATTCTGAATAGAGGCAGAAAGACAACACTTGTGAAAATAATGGGTCTGAAAGACAAACACATTTTGAAATAAACAAATAGAATAGAAAAAAATCCTGTACTTAGCAGAATTTGTTCTGATAGCCTAGATTTATCAGCTTCTCCAAACCAAACTCACTGGTCGATTCTGATTCATGATCCTGTTTAGGGTTTCTGAGGCTGTAAATCTATACGGAAGTCCGCAGCCTTACCTTTTTTGAAGAGCAGCTTGTGGATTTGAACCAGCAACCTTGAGGTTAGCAGTCCAGTACTTATCCTTCAGCACCACCAGGGCTCATCAGGATTTGAAAGGGGAGTGCTTTTTCAATTAAAAACATGGTGGTCTACAAGAATCAATAGATTCAAATGTATTAACCATTAAGTGGGGGTGATGGTGTGCCGTGGAGTCAGTTCCAACTCATAGCGACCCTGCATAGAGATTCTGAGGCTGTAAATCTTCACAGGAGCAGAAAGCCTCATCTTTCTGCCACAGAATGGCTGGTAGTTTTGAACTGCTGACCTTGAGGTTATGCACCGACTCGTAACCACTAACCATTAAGTGCAACTCTGAAAATTGAAATTTTAAGATAAATAGGAAAGTCATGAGACTATTATTGAGAAAAAGAAAAAAAAAATTTTTAGAAAAATTTCCACAACACAGTATTAGAGACAGTAATAATGACTCAGTAGCAAATAAGGTATATGAGTAAGTTTTTGCTCATGTTATTTTCAAATGTTCAGTCACTATAAAAGTTTTTTTTTTTTTTTCTCCTTTACTTTTGCTGTATTGGTCATAGCTGTGTGTCATCTTAAAATACTCCAGAAAATTGTGTTTTGAAAGTAAGTGTGAATGCAATTATTTCATAGGTCCATCAATATCGATATGACAACATCAAATTTTTGGTCAATAAATTAAAAAGAAAAAGACCCCAGGGTATTTGCATCTGATTAATTCCAGCTCACGGTGACCCCATGTATCGCAGTGACCCCATGTATGTAGTATGTAGTAGGACAACTCCCTAGGTTTTCAAAGCTGTGACTTTTCAGGAGCAGATAGCCAAGTCACCTCTGCGTAGGTCTGAACCACCAACTTTTCAGTTAGTAGTCCAGCACTTAACCTTTTGTGACAATCCTTTAAAACTTACATAATCTCTTTTGCTGTCAAACATGTTCTGGTTTGGGCAATACATTATATGGTCGCCCTGTCTGCGTGAGCTGGCCTCCCTTACCTGTCTTACTAGTTCTCTGTCCCCTGGTCTTATTGATGTCCTTGCTATGCCACAGATACTCCAAGATTCTCTTCCTGCTGTCCCTTCTACCTGGATCACACCACCTGCAGATCTCCTTCTGCTGCCCTCATCTCCCATAAGTCCTTGCTCCAGGGTCACCTTCTCACTGAGGCCTTGCCTGTGTCTCCCCTATTTCCTGTCTTCCATTCCCTGATTAAAATTTACATATGAACCTGCTTATCATCTGTCTCTTATGTCCAGAAAGTAAGCATCTGTGTAGACTGTTTTTGTTTCTACTGGGTTTTAGGTTGTGACTGCTACATTCCCTGGCCTAACACAAGACAGGCCTTGAGCTGACATCTGTTCAATGAGGAGATGAATTGCTGACCAATTACCTTCTAGATTCACACACTCTTTGAGTATACTGAGTTTAGTCACTGTATAATCTTAGTCTAGGTACCATTCTTTCTAGTTAAGGAGGCTTTGCTGTGACTGGTTTTGTTTGCTTGATGGTTCCTATTTCAAGCTGGTTTACATCCCTATTCAGTGCTTTTGTTGTGCGGGAAGTAGGCATGCTATTGTTTGTTTACTTACCAACTGCTGTTTGTTTAGAACTTGGGAACCCTCTGCCTTATGAAAGGAAACCTCAACAATATGCAAACAGTCCCCTTTTTAAGACTTGAAAATGCTGCTAAGTCTAGATGAGTACCAGCATTCTTGTAACAGAAATTCTTTCTTTTTTTTTCTTCCCTGTCACCTGTATGTCTTAGGTGGAGCTTGCATATACTACCAATGTCCAGGAGTCCAGTGTGTACAGGTACTTTTTAAAATTTAATGAAACCCTTAGGAAAAATATGTGATTCGGTCCTTGTTATCAGTCCATGTTTGGACAAATTTGCTTTGTGATTGTTTATTCTTAGAACTCCCACCAGCTTCCTCCTCTTCCTCTAGCCCTTGAGCAGAGCAGGAACTCAGCCCAGCTGACTTGATTACTCCGCAAGGGGCCTGGCTTTTAGACGGGCTGTCAAGGCTGGGTGGAAAAGTGTCAGTAGTCTCAGGATTGCCACAGATGCTTTGGCCATGCTATCCCAGATACCATGCTCCGTTTTGCAAAAGGGAAAACATGCCTGAAGAAACTTAAGATTCCAGCTTTATCAGAGCAAGGAGCAGGGCTAAACTGAGACAGTGGGTCACCATGGCAGACGAATGAAGGCATACTCTTTTCCATATTTGCTCAGAATTTCTTTACTGGCTGGAGTGATTTCCTAGGAATAAAGTTACACATTGAAACAGATTCACTTCTTAAATCATTTTTCTGGCCCAAGAAGAGTCCACTGTGAAAAATAAAAAGGTCACTTATGCTGTTCTCTCTTCAATTACAGCTTGCAACTTTTAAAGTCAGAAAACCTTCTGTGAAACAAGGGACTTGAAGTTTTGATAATAAGGACTTGTAGGTTAAGAGGACTTCGAGACCCAGACGTGTCAAGTCGATGTTGGCTCCTAGTGACCCTGTAGAGCAGAGTAGAACTGGCCCATTGAGTTTTTCCAAGGCTGTGACTTTAAAAAGTCACATTTACAGGAGTGACTGCCACATTTCTCTTCCACCGAGTGACTGGTGGGTTTGAACTGCTGATCTTTGGGTTAGCTGCCAAGCACTGTCACCACTGTGCCACTGGGGCTCCTAAAGAGTACTACACTACTACACCTTATATAAGGAGCTCTGGTAGCGTAGTGGTTACAAATCGGGCTGCAAACCTTAAGGTCAGTGGTTTGAAACTACCAGCTGCTCCGTGGGAGAAAGATGAGGCTTTCTACTCCCGTAAAGATTTACACCCTCGGAAACTCTGTACAGGGTCGCTGTGGGTCGAAACCGACTCGATGGCACTTAACAACAACACCTTATATGGTTTCCAAATTGGAGCCAAGAGCACACAGGCATCTTTCTAAAACTCTCCACGTGAGGGCGCTTTCTACTTTGGTGGGAGTGAGGCTAATTTGTTCAAACAGATTCATCAGATTACTAAACTATTCCAGCTCCAGAAAGCTACTGGGTAGGCAAGTCTGTACTTCTCCTGTCACCCTGGCCCCTGCCAAAAATCAAAACAAAGTACACAACAGCAAAGGAACTCAGCACACAATAGGTACTCAGTAAATTTGATTTCTTAAAATTTAGTGAACTGAATTTTTAGTTTTCTTAAAATCTACAAATTAAGACTTTAATAGGAATGCAAAAGAACACAGGAAAACAAAACACACAAACCAGTCCAACCAGCAGCTATTACCCTGTATATTGCACACACTAGTACTGATTTTTTGCTCTACCCTTCCTCTCCCCCACAGTATGGGTCTCTGGCTTCTCCCCACCAGACCCATCCCCCCTCTGCTCTTGTTTTCTTCTGCATTCAGGGAAGCTGATCCACGCACAAAGCCTGGGTTTTCCTGAGTTTGGAAGATGAGAGTCCGGGAACTCTAGGGCATTTCTCTCCTAGTCTCTCTGTTCCTCCAGCCATGTTGTTGGCAATGCCTCTATCTCCTTTATGACTTTAGCTAAAACAAGACAGGCTCGCTGTAATTCCAGCATAGCTCTGGTAACCTGGGTCCCTAAACCAAAACAAAAAAATGAAAAACCCACTGCTGCAGAGTTGATCCCGACTCCCTCTCTGTAGGGCAAAGAAGAACTGACCCGCAGGCTCTCATTTTTATGGAACCTGATTTCCGTTTCTTTCTCTAGTGGAACAACTGGTGAGTTCGAACCACTGACTTACTGGTTAGCAGGCAAGTGCTTAATCACTGTGCCACCAGACCCCCCCACCTCTCACCCCCCTCCGGGTTCCTAGGCTCTGGCATCTCTGATCTTTGTCCTTTTAGTATACGGATAGTAATGGTTTCCTGTGGGGGACGAATCTGTGGGTGATGTAGTCAAATTTTGGTATTAAATTCTGTTTACTCACATTGCTGTGTTTTCCCGGTTGGACTTCTACTCAAATACTTCCCAATACTGAGCTCATAGCTGTATCGTCCTCTGTGGGGAGAAGAGGGAATCCAGGTGACCATTCCAGCAAGTCAATTCAAACTCAGCGATCTGCAGGATAGAGCGGAGCGTCCCACATTAGGGTTCCAAGCCTGGAATCTTTGTGGGAAGTGTGGTGGCTCCATACGACAAGCACTGGATAGTGAGCCCAAAGGTCAGCAGTTCCAGCCCACCAGCTGTTCCATGGGAGGAAGATGAGGCTTTCTGCTCCTGCAAAGATTTACAGCCCTGGAAACCCTATACAGGGTTGCTATGAGTCGGAACCGACTAGACTGCACTTAACAACAACAATCTTTACGGAAGCAGACTGCCACATCTTTCTCAGTGGAGTTGTGGTAGGGTTCAAACTGTAGACTTTTTGGTTAGCAGCAGTTATGTTGTTGTTGTGTGCTGTCTAGTCAATTCTGATTTATAGTGACCCTGTATAGGGTTTCTGAAAGCAGCTGGTGGGGTTCAATTGCTGACATTGTAGTTACCAATCCAGTGTTTATTGTGGTGGTGTTATTAAGTGCTGTTGAGTAGATTCATAGTAACCTTGTATAGGGTTTCCAAGGAGCAACTGGTGAGTTTGAACTGCTGACCTTGTGGTTCAAACCGACTTTGTGGTCCTGCACGTATCCTATAGCCACACCAGGACTCCATACAAATTTGTATCCTAGACTGATACAAATCCTTAAGGTTGGCACTTAGAGCCCACAAGGCTAGCATGTGCAAGAATTAGATTCCTATATTCTGTTTCTACCACTTAACTCCTGCTTGCTTAGATAAATCAAACATTGCTTTTAACCTAGAAAATATATTCAAGGTCATTGTGAATATGGTGGTTATTCTGTGTCGTCATTTAGATTCTGACTCACAGGGACCCTGCATAGGGTCTCTAAGGCTGTAAATCTTTACGGGAGCAGAAAGCCTCATCTTTCTCCTGCGGAACAGCTGGTAGTTTTGAACTGCTGACCTTGAGGTTCACAGCCCGATTCGTAACCACTACGTTACCAGAGCACCATTACAGTTGTGAATATAGCAATGTGATAATATTTCTTAAAAGAGCAGTATATCAGTTGTTTTTAAGTACTGTCAAGCCAATTTTGACTCATAGCGACTCTGTATAGGGTTTCCAAGGAGCAGCTGGTGAGTTTGAACCTCCTTTCTTGCAGTTCAAACCAACCTTGTGGTCTACTGTTTATCTGCAGTGCCACCCCACAAATACCAATGTAGAATTATACCATGTGCGTGAACAAATACAATCATTTTTGTGAGAACAGAGATGAACAGCTCATAAAAATATTACAGAGCTTTGAATGGGGGCTGGAGAGAGTCTAGCAGAGTTGCACAATGGAATCTGTTCATTGAGAAGTACGGCTTCTTTGATGCATCTCTTGTGATTCATATTGTCGAAATGTCTGAGTGATGAACTCAGTTGTTGCTGATGACAGAGCATAACACTTTCACCATCTTCAAAAAGTCAGAGACAATTCAAAGGATCTCTGATTGGAGCTTCCTCTCTTTTCAGGGGCATTTCCTCTAGTGGGCACTTAACTATGTGATCATTAACTCTTCACTGTCTCTCATTGGGTCTCATGGCAATGATCTAATTATCTCTATAACTGCATTAGGTGTGGCACTGTAGGATAAGCACTAAACTGCAAGGTCAGTGTGAACCAAAAGGTTGGCACTTCAAACTCCCCGGCCACTCCTGGAAACCATATACAGAGTTGCTATGAGTCGGAAACAACTCCACAGCACTGAGCAACAGCAGAAACAACAGGACTTTGGTTTGGAACCCAGTGAGAGCTCTTTGAATAAGCCTGACTGTGTCCCAGCTGGGAGATAGACAGGGTGTTAGGCTCAGGCAGCAAACTACATTAACAACTTGCGATATGCAGATAATACAACGTTGCTTGCTGGAAGTGAAGACAACTTAAAATACTGTTGAAGATCAAAGACTATAGCCTTCAGTATTGATTGCACCTCATTGTAAATAAAAGAAAAATCCTTACCACGGGACCAATAAATAACATCATGATAAATGGAGAAAAAATTGAAGTTGTGAAGTGGTGGGTCAGCAAAATAGAGGAAGACCCCCAACAAGATGGATTGGCACAGTGGCATCAGCAATGGGCTCAAGTTTAACAAAAATGTTGAGGATGGCACAGGACCAAGCAATGTGTTGTTCTGTTGTGCATAGGGTCGCTATGAGTTGGAACCGACTTGACGGCACCTAACAACAACAACAACAGCAAACTACACTACAGCCTGGGGCCACAGAATGGGCTGCCTTTTGTATTTCTGTGACACCTGCCCAGGGCAGCAGTGACTAACGAATTGTACCTGCAAAACATGAGGGAGAACTCCTTTGTCCCAGGATACTTGGAATCCGTCTCCCTTTTAGTCTGTCTCATAGGGACCCTATAGGACAGAGCTCTGGTAGTGTAGTGGTTACGAATTGGGCTGCGAACCTTAAGGCCAGCAGTTCGAAACTACCAGCTGTTCCGCGGGAGAAAGATGAGGCGTTATGCTCCCATAAAGATTTACAGCCTCGGAAACCCTGTACAGGGTCTCTATGGGTCGGAAACAACGGCACTTAACAAGTCTTCACGGAAGCCAACTGCCACATCTTTATCCTGTGGAGCAGTGGGGGGTGGGACTTCCCACCTTTCATTTGATGCCCGAGTCAGGACTTCTTGGAACCGTGCATGTCTGGCCATATTTGTTCCCAAATTAAAAAGTTAATAATATCTTGGCTGTGCCAGAGGACCATGCTTCACCTAAAAGACTAAGTCTTTTATCTTAAAAGAAGAAGGTATCTCATTTTCTACCTTTTTTCTGGTAGTTAAATGCTCAAAAATATGTTATGTCAGTAGTGGAACATATACCCCCAAAAACAGTCTTCTTAAAAAATTGTTCTTAAGATAGCAAGATACCCAGTTTCCTTTTCCCTTTTCCCTAGCTGGTAAATACATAAAAAGAAGTGAAGTAGAAAGGCTGCATTTTTTGTTTTGAAATATATTTACGGAAAGGTTTAGAATATTTGGTTTTATTTTTGGCTCTGTGTATGTGTGTATAAGGAGCTCTGGTAGCATAGTGGTTACAAGTTGGGCTGCTAACTTCAAGGTCAGCAGTTCAAAACTACCAGCTGTTATGCAGGAGAAAGATGAAGCTTTCTGCTCCTGTAAAGATTTACAGTTTCAAAAACCCTATATAGGGTTGCTATGAGTCGGAGCCGACTACACAGCATACCACTACCAGCAACACCACCACCACCATGTATGTGTGTGATAAAAAATGCATTTGATATTGTTTTCTGGAATAATGTTGAAGACTAGCATTGATAGAATCCTTGTCCTTCTCATTTCCTATTTAGAAATGTGTTTAATATTTGATTATCAAATATGAGACTTGCTACAGATTTCTTTTGCATACCTTTTATCAAGTTGTGACATTTATCTTTTTTCCCGAGATCTTCAACACCTTCAGTAAGGGTGGTTGAATTTGGTTTCAACTGAGTTTTCAGCCCTATCTAAACTTTCTTTATTTAGAAAGCTTTTTTCTTACTTGATAGTATAATGAATTACATCCTTTCCCTAATTAATATTGAACTACCCTTGGATGTCTAGAGTAAACACTTACCTAGCTATGATGTATAATTTCTTAAAACACATTTCTGTTGTTTTTATTTAAACTTTCCATACATGATCTAAACAAGTACAATGCAAAAGAAGGGGAACACGGAGGATCAGAGATCCAGACAACGACAAGATCAGGTAGATTACAGGATAAAATAGACTGCACTAAATGGACAGAGAAGTCAATGGACCATAAGGCAACCTCAAAGAAAATCAACACTTCACAGCATACCAAGAGAATGAGAATCCAAGAATATGAAAACATTAAAACTATGAGGAAACATACAAGAAAGTACACACAAATCATGAATTCAATAGAGAAAGACAAACAGAACAAAGAAGCAACAACACCACAAAAAAACAAATATAATGACAACAAATAATCAATACCTATCAAGGTCAGCGGTTCGAAACTACCAGCCGTTCCGCGGGAGAAAGATGAGGCTTTCTACTCCCGTAAGGATTTACACCCTCGGAAACCCTGTACAGGGTCGCTATGGGTCGGAACTGACTCGATGGCACTTAACAACAACAACAATCGATAATTACACTGAACGTAAATGGATTGAATGCACCTGTTAAGAGACGGAGGGTAGCAGAGTGGATAAGAAAACAAGATCCTTCAATACGCTGTCTGCAAGAGACACATCTCACACACAGAGACAGAAACAGATTAAAAGTGAAAGGATGGGGAAAAATATACCAAGCTAATTGCAATAAAAAGTGAACAGGAGTGGCAGTGCTAATCTCAGATAAAATAAACTTTCCACACACATCTGTTTTGTCTTTCTTTGTCCAGTTTTAGTATCAAGTTTCTGCTAGACTCATAAAATGAATTGTGTGATTTTCTATATACTAAGCGTTTATACTTATTGATGAAGATCAAAGACCACAGCCTTCGGTATGGGTTGCGCCTCAGTGTAAAGAAAAAAATCCCCACCACTGGACCAGTAAATAATATCATGATAAATGGAGCGAAGATTGAAGTTGTCTAAGACTTCATCTTGCCCAGGTCAACCATCAACACTCATGGAAGCAGCAGTCAAGAAATCAAATGACAGGTGTTATTGGGCAAATCTGCTGCACCCTATCTCTCTCTCTCTCTCTTTCTCTTTTTCTTGGTCTCAACATTGTTACTTTTTTGTTGATGAACATTTGATAGACCCTTTCATCTGGAATGGAACTTACTCTGTATAACAAACCTTTGAACTTCCTTTATGAAACAAAACTGGACTGATATCTGTCTTCTCCACAGACATTGAAAGTCCAAAGACGTTTATCAATCCTGTACAACATCCAGGGCACAGAGCACGTCTGCTCTGTGGGATCATCATGGTTACCATGTAGTCTAAACATTGAAATTGAAATGTTGAGAGTGGCATGTTGGCAGTTCATCCATGGAAACGATGATGGGGTTTATTAGGGAAGTGAAGAGGGTACAATTTAGGATGAAAAGCAACTCAGAACACAACAGTTCTCCAGTCTGGACCACCTCGTCTGCCATACTACAGTCATGCCTCACTCTTGTGTTCAGCCTCTCAGCCATGTGGTCCCTTGGCCTCTGCCCTACTCGAGGATGTACACACTGTCTCTTTAAAGCATTCAAGAGCAAAGATGTCAATTTGAAGATTAAGGTGCGCCCGACTCAAGCTATGGTATTTTAAATAGCCTCATGCATGTGAAAGTTGGACAGCGACTAAAGAAGACAATAGAAGAATGGATGCATTTGAGTTATGGTGTTAAAGGAGAATATTAAAAGTACTATGGACCACCAAAAGAACAAGCAAATCTCTGTTGGAAGAAGTACAGCCAGAGTGCTTCTTAGAAGCGAGGATCAACAAACTTTGGATATATTATCAGGAGGGACCAGTCCCTGGAGAAGGAAAGGATATCATGCCTGATAAAGTGGAGGGTCAGTGAAAAAGAAGGAGGCCCCTAATTAGATGAATTAGCCCAGTGGCAGCAACAACGGGCTCAAGCATCACAGCAGTTGTGAGGTTGGGTGAGCTTGGACAGGACCCAGCACTGTTTCGTTCTGTTGTACGTAAGGCCACTATAAGTCGGTACCGACTTGTTGGCACCGAACAACAACAATAAGAGTTTGTAAAATGTCAGTTTTTGTTTGTTTTGAATTTCATTAATTTATGCTTTTATTTCTTACATTTAATGATGTTAGGGAACACAATGTCTCTATAGAATAAACAGTGGACTGCAAGACACAAGGTCAGCAGTTCAAGCCCACCTGTTACTCCTTAGGAGAAAGATGCGGTTTCTGCTCTGTAAAGATTCCCAATCTTGGAAACCCTATACAGGGTCACTATGAATGAGTTGGAAGTAACTCAACACCACTTAACAAAAACAATTATACTAGTTTTTCATTTTCTTTTTCATATTCTTGAGTTGAATGCTTTATTTATATTTGGTCTTTCTTGTTTTTCAATAATTGCACTTAGGACTGTTTACGTATTTTCTTTTAATGACACATTGTCTTCAACTCTGAGGTGTTTGTGTATGTTCTCATTGTTATTTCTAAAGTGTCTGAAGTCAGTTGAAGTTAAAAACAATTTTTTTTTCAATTCCAAGAATTATTTTGTTGTTGTTGTTAAGTGCTGTTGAGTCGGCTCCAATGCATAGCAGCCCTGTGTAGTGTTTTTGAAGAATGTCTAGTGGGTTTGAGCTGCTGATCTTGTAGTTAGCAATCCACTGCTTATCCTACAGTGCCACACCAAGACTTTAGAAGTGCTTTGTTTTTTTCCCCCAGTGGCTAGATTTTTTTTTAAATGGTTAATTTACATACTTATTTGCTGCTAGCTAAGAATTTATTAAGATTTATTTTGTGTCTTCCGACATGGCGAATCTTTGCTCCATGTATCTGAATAGATTGCACAGGTATCTGAATAGAATCTGTAGTCTGTGTTTTAGATCCAAAGTTTTATTTATCAATACTTTACTCACAATATTTGTTGTTATTGCCATTAAGTGCCGTGGAATCAGCACCTACTCATAGCGACCTTGTATGGAGTTTCCGAGGAGCAAGCTGGTGGGTTTAAACTGCTAGCCTTGCAGTTCAGACTGACCTTGCAGTCCAGTGCAGTATTCTCCAGTGCCATACCAGGACTCCTTACACACAATACATAGAGAGATATGAAATCAGCATCATGCACATTATTGAAATCTTATATATTGTGGGTTTGCAAAATTTTCTGCAAACTTTTGACAATACTAGACAGTAGGCATTGTAAGCTTTGTGGGCCTTTGGGTGCCTGTTGAAACAACTCAACTACACAGAAGCAGTTGTAGCTAACATGCAAATGAGTGGGCGTGGCCGAATTTGGCCCAGGGTTCCTTAGGTTGCTGATGCTGATCTTTTGTCTTTAATCTGACTGTAGTTGAGAGAAGACATAATCCTTAACAACAACAACAACAACAACAAAAACCCACCAAAAAATGAAATGGGCTGCTACCGTCAAGGTCAGCAGTTTGATACTATCAGCCATTCCACAGCTTTCTGCTCCTGTAAAGATTTACAGCCTCAGAAACCCTATGCAGGGTAGCTAGGAGTCGGAATGGGCTCCATGGCACATAGCCACCACCGCCGCCACCACCGCAGGTCTTAAAGCTCTGTGCTCTTTATCTTTTTGTGTCCTGGTTGTTCAAGCTCTGTGTCTCTTCATGTCCTACCTGTTGGGGAAGAAAGACCTCCCAATTCCAGGGCCATTCTTTTCCTTTATATGCAGGAGAATAATACCAGTTTTTGGCATGACCACAGGAAGAGATGGAGACAAAAGACAGAGAGAAGCATTGTTCAGATTTTGAGTCTAGTACAATTGCTGCTGTGTACTGTGGAGACGGTCCTGACCCATAGCGACCCTGTATAGAGTTTCCGAGGCTGAAAATTATCGGAGCAGAAAGCCTCATCTCTCCCGCTTGGATTCAAACTGCTGACCTTGTTTGTGATGCTTCCAGCGCTCATGTTTAGTCTAGTACCCATTTTTTAAATACCCCATGTCCCTGCTTTTACACTCAGTATCTAAGGGGGTCAAAGCAATTTTTTTAGTATTTTATGTGTGACTTGGCATTTGAATGAAATGTTTGGGTATACTTTTGTTTTTGTTTTTCCCCATAGTGAGATCCAAGAGCCAAAGAAATTAACACCACCTCCTAAAACATCAGCAGCCGCTCAGTTGGATGAGCTCATGGCCCACCTGTGTGAAATGCAGGCCAAGGTGAGTGTATTACTATGATAAAGCCTCCAGAGGCCAGAACAACAGTGGTTTCTCTTTAGGGAACTCAGTTCTGCCTGACTCCTTTAGGAACTCTTTTATGTGGTCATTCAGCTTCCCAGACACTGGATGAGCTTCACTTTGTGCTGTGATGATCTAGACACAAAAGGCCACATGATGCAGGCCATAATCTCAAGGAGCTGTGGGTGTTGGGTGTGATTGTTAACGCAAGGTGCACACTTCTGTAACGTGTAGAATAAAAGGCAAGCAGTTTGCTAAAACATAGGGAACAAACATTAGGGATGCAGAGGGGTCATGGAGGTTTTTTTCAGAGAGGTGGGATGGCATTTGGGATAGACTCTGAAGGAAGGGTAGGGTTTGGATGTATACAGATGGAAGCGGAGAGGTCCTGGTAGTTGCAGTGAGTCCTGAGGGCCGAGGCTACGAAGGAAGCCCAGGTACAGTGTGGAAGGGCTGCTAGAGAGACCTACCTGAGCAGGCTGGAGGAGAGCAGTGGGCATGCTAAGACAGCAAGGGGCGACCCAAGGGTGGCTCTGAAAGGGTGAGGCATCTTAAACCCCACAGTGTTCTCACCCTACAAGCTCCAATGGCCCGGTGTTCTTGTTGTTGAGGCCTGGTAGGGCATGTAAGTCAGGTAAGTAGAATTTAGGTTTTCTGACAGGAAATATGGCCTAGCTTGGAAGGTTTGATATACACATCTGAAGTGACTATGATCTAATTTCAAGGCCGTGTGTAAATCTGGGTGATTGGGAAGGGAAGGGACCTTAGCTATATGGCTCATCTGTGACTATGCATGTTCAGCACAGAGCCTGGCACCGACACCTCCACCTCTAGTGCAGGGACAGGTGGACACACAGCACAAGCATGTTTGCATTCATGACCGATGTTCTTTGATGTCTACAATAAACTAGCTGGATCGGCTCTTTTTACTCTAGAACTGAAAACCCCCAAACTGACCCATAGCAGCTCCACATAGGGTGTTTAAGGTTCTGTCTTTATGGGAACAACCTCATCTTTCTCCTGCAGAATGGCTGGTGGGTTTGAACTGCCAACCTCGAGGTTAGCAGTCCCTTGCGTATCCTGTAAGATCACTTTCAAATTGATTTAGCATCTGTTTTGGCTTATTGAAATTTATAATGAAAAATATCTGTTTTTTTGATAGGCCATACATTCACATTGTATAAGAATCAAAAGTCCAAAATGATGTTATGTGCCATCAAATTGATTCTGACCCACAGCAAAAGTCCACACGGAGTGGAACTGCACACAGATTGTCTCAGTCTGAAACCTTTACAGGGGACTCCTGCCATGGTGCTGTGGATCAGCACTGGATTAGAAACCACAAGGTCGGCAGTTCAAACCCACGAGCTGCTCCTTGGAAATGCTATACAGGGTCCCTATGAGTCGATATTGACTCAAGGGCATGTAACAACAAGAGCAGATCAGCAGGTGTTGTATTCTGGGTAACCTTTGGTAGGCTTGAGTCACCAACTTTATGATTAACAGCTAAACGTTTCATCATTGCACCCAGGGCTTCTATCTGGAATATACAAGCCAATAGAGACACAGATATTTGTATACGTATATTTATAGTTGTAAGGAGCCTTGGTGGGGCAGTGGGCTATGTGTTAGGCTGCTAAGGTCAGAAGTCAATCTACCAGATGCTCCTCTGGAGAAAAGATGAGGCTTTCTGCTCCTGTAAAGATTTACAGCCTCAGAAACCCTATGAGTCGGAACTGACTCGATGGTACGTAACAACAACTCAACTATGTAGTAAATATACTGTAGCCATCTTGTTAAGTGCTGTCGAGTTGGTTTCCACTCATAGTGACCCTAGATAGGGTTTCCAAGGAGCAGGGGGTGGGTTTGAACCGCTCACCTTGTCGTTAGCAGTCTAGTGCTGATCCTACAGCAGCACACCAGGACTCTGCTTTTAGGTAAATTTTATTCTTGTTTTATTTTTCATACTTGATATTGGTGCTAGGTGCCCTGGTGGTATAGTGGGTTACACATGGAGCTGTTAACTGCAGGGACAGCAGTTGGAACCCACCAGCTGTTCTGAGGGAGAAAGATGAGACTGTAAAGAGTGACAACCTCAGAAACCACAGGAAACAGTTTTTCTCTGTTGTGCAGGATTGCTCTGCGTCAGCGTTCACTGGATGGCTGTGGCTTTGGGGCTTTGGGAGGGTAGTATCAGTCATCCTGTCATGCCTTTCAGACATTAGGCTTTCAGGCATTAACCTCTTGAATGCTAACTGACATTATAAAAGAGAGGAAGGAACTTTGTCAGATGATGAACATTTCCTGAAGGGAAGTGCACATTTTGGATTAATGAGATGATGTGAGGTTAGTTCATGTAGTAAATTAGGATCAGGAGAGGCCTGAAGGCAGACAGTAACAGATCACACTCAGGATGCTTGTTGTTGTTGGTAAGTGCCATCCAGTTGGTGGTTCTGACCCATAGCGACCCAGTATAGAGTTTCCAAGGCACGACTGGTGAGTTTGAACTGTTGACTTTGTGGTTCAATCCGACCTTGTGGTCCTGTGCTTTATCCTACAGCAGTACACCAGGACTGAGGCCTGTTGCTGAGTAATAAAAGATATGATTGGAAAGGCCAAGTGAGGGCAGTGGATGGGAGACTTAGAACGCATGTCTGACCATTGCAAATGTGAAGCCCAGTGTTAGGTAGATGGGAGCCATGACTCAGATGGAAAGGAGTGGGGAGAGCCAGACTCAGGCCTGAGGTGATGACAGATAAACTAGGCATCTCTGTAGTGTGTGTGTATAATTTGAGACTTTTCCTCTGGATGCATTATCATAACTCTTTTGGAATTTGGCTTAAATAAATCCAACCCATCAGCAAGGTTTATCCCACCACTTTCCCCTTATCACTTACCCCTGAGACCCCCTCCTGGTCTCTACGTTTCCTTTCTTGCTTGTGTGCTCTTAATTAATTCCACACTCAGCTACCACAAGGGTCTTCTAAGGAAGATTCCTTCTCTCTTAGGTTTGAGACACTCCAACGGCTCCCATCACCCTGGAATCATAAAGGCCCACAGGGACTTTTCTTCTCTCTCCATTGTGTCCTCCTGCGGCATGCCATCTCACTCCCCTCTGCTGGCATTCTACTTTACTTTGCTTCCAATGTGCGAAGTTGTTTCCTCAAGACCTTCCCTCCACCCCTCCCTTTGGAGTGCTCTTCTTGTAAATATCTATCAATATTTATGGGTCCAAAGTATATCCTTCTGATATCTGCTCAGACATCACCTCCGCCAGAAACCGTTTCTTATCACCCCCGTCAACATTCGTGCTTCCCCACCAGCCTACCCTCCGTCACTTGTGTTTCCATCTACAAATTATAACTCATCTCTTCCTGATAGTAAATCGTATGTGGAATTGTTTATTGTCCGTCACTCCATAGAACGTAAATTCGGTGAGGGTAGAAACTCACTCCTTTTTATGCATTGTTGTTGTTGGGTGCTATCGAGTTGGTCCTATGCACAACAGAACAAAACACTACCAGGTCCTGTATCATCCTTACGATTATTGTTAAGCTTGAGCCAACTACTGCTGCCTCTGTGCCAAACCTTCTCCTTAGGGGTCTTCCTCTTTTTGGCTGACCTTCCACTTTACCTAGCATGATGTCCTTCTCCAGGGACTAGTCCCTCCTGATAACATGTCCAATGTATGAGAGATGAAGTCTTGCTATCTTGGCTACTAAGGAACATTCTGGCTGTATTTGTTCTAACACAGATTTGTTTACTCTTCTATCTTTCCTTGGTATTTTTAATACTATTCTCCAACACTAAAACTCAAGTACATAATTCTTCTACAGTCTTCCTTATTCGTTGTCCAACTTTCACATGCATATGAGTCTATTGAAAATACCATGGCTTGGGTTAGGGACACCTTAGTCCTCAAAGTGGATCTTTTCTCTAACACTTTAAAGAGGTCTTGTGCAGCAGATTTGCCTAATGCAATACATCATTTGGCTTCTTGGCTGTTGCTTCATGAGTGTTGTGCATCAGTCTATACCCAATGCCACAGCAGTAACTGACACAACCTAGTTACTCATTATCAGTCTTAGAAGCAAGGATGGCAAGACGTTGGCTTTTTGAATGACTGTTTTTGTACACATCATCAGGAAAGACAAGTTACTAGAAAAGGATACCATGTCAGTGAAAATAAGGGATGTTCTCAATGAGATGGACTGACCCAGTAGCCTAAACAATAGACTAAAATATGGCTGGCTCAGGACCAGACCGCGTTATCTATAGAGTCACTAGGAGTCAGAGCCGACTCAACGGCACCCAACACCAACAATAGGTGCTCACTAAATATTGCAGAGTAAGTGACTAAAAGGATGATAGGACTAGCTTTGATCATAAAAGCCAGAAAGGGTATCAGCGGCAGAGGGTCAATTTTCTACAGTCAGAAAAGATTTCCAAGATTAGAGGAACACTAGTCAGATTTTCTTCAACCTGAGGAAGTTATATGAAAGGATGATGAAAGCATTTCTGTTGGAGTTAAAATGTTGGATTCTTCTAGTGCCTTGGAGGAGGGGATTAGGGGAAAATCTAAATCACTGTACTGTGAAGGTGAGCTTATCTGAGTCATGTAGAAGATGCCCGTGAGGGTAAAGGTACACGAGGCAGGTCCTGTTCACAGTTCTTTCCTTGGTTTCAGGTTGATGTGAAAGCAGATGTGGGCAAGAAGCCCTTACTGGACCAGCAGGATCACCAGGCCTCCCTGGACTCCATGCTGGGCGGTTTGGAGCAGGACTTGCAGGACCTTGGAATCGCTACAGTGCCCAAGGGCCATTGTGCTTCCTGCCAGAAACCGATTGCTGGAAAGGTGGGCAGGGCCACGATGAGGGTCTGTGTCTGTGTGTATGTATGTCTCGTTCTCCTTATATTCAGAGCTATTTCAGTTGTTAGTTATCATTGAGCTTGTTCTGACTCCTGGGGACCCCATTTATATAGAGTTGAACTGCTGTACTGTGGGGCTTTCTTGGCTGCAATCTTCATGGAAACAGGTGACCATTTTAGTAACAGCTAATCATTGCCAGTCACCAACAAAGCTCTGTGCATAGCTGCATGCTTTACAAGCACCCCCTCGTTCAGTGGTCATGTCAGCACTTCAGAGGGGACGCTACTATTTATTGTTCCTTTTGTAAACATAAGGACACAGAGGGTCCAGAGATTTCACTGGCTTAAGATCTAGAACGAAGCAGAGATGAAATTTGAACCCATGAGAGTCTGATGCCCATGCATGAGCTCTTACACTGTTTTGTGCACTGCCTCCATTGAGAATAACTCTCTTATGATTCTTTCTGTTCAAACATTCCCAAGTTGATTAATTACCATTTTTAGATGAACACAGTTACAAATCATAAATCCAGACTTCTGCTCTGCCTCATCCTTACCAAAGCTGTGATAACGGGTCTTGAGTCGTGACTCAGCATGGGGCTTGAGATGAGGTATTCAGACCAGTTGACTGTTTTCTTTTCCAGGGGTTTTTGGCCTATCACCACCATGTTCTGTGTTGTGTCTACCACCCTCTGAGGAGATAGATCAGTCATGAACAGTCATAGACTTTTTGCCCACATGATCAGTCAGGAAATTGGGCATCCTTTGGCCATGCACAAAGCATGGACAGGGACAGCCTTAGGTAGAACTGAGGTGTAGATCTCAGCATTCCTAGGACGGGTCATTTCCATGGACCACCTTGTGAGGTTATGGAACTTGCATGCCCTGGAGCATGGACCAGGCCTCGCTTTCCTTCATCCCCCAGGTGATCCATGCTCTTGGGCAATCCTGGCACCCAGAGCACTTCCTCTGCACTCACTGCAAAGAAGAGATCGGAGCTCGCCCCTTCTTTGAGCGGAGCGGCATGGCTTACTGCCCCCAGGACTACCACCAGCTTTTCTCTCCACGCTGTGCCTACTGTGCTGCTCCCATCCTGGACGTGAGTATAGCTCTGCTCCCCAGCCGCTCTCCCGGGGTCTCGGGGTCTCTAGTCACTTAGGCAGAACTGGTGTGTGTGTGTGTGTGTGTGCAGCACTGCAGCCTGCTGATCCCTGCCTACTCCTTTTCCAGAAAGTGCTGACGGCGATGGATCAAACCTGGCACCCAGAGCACTTCTTCTGCTCTCACTGTGGAGACGTGTTTGGTGTGGAAGGTACGGCGGCCTGGATGCTGCATCCCAAAGCCCAAGGGCTACTTAGGAGAAGGCCTGGCAGAGCTTTTCCTTGATGCCTCTGCCCCATCTATGCGGTGGTCCTAGTTCCTACACAAGCTTTCAGATAGCCCCTTTAGTTTTACATGACATCTTTCCTCACCTCCCCTCACCCCAGCATTTATAATTTTTGTTTAAAATGAATTTTTAAAAAACTACAAAAAAATTAACTTCAAGGTTAAGACAGAAAGAGAGCCTTATTGTGCTTCTCCGTTCTCTACCCCTAAATCCAGTTTGCTGCTCAGAATTCTGATAGATGTTTCTTCTGTTACTTCGTTATTTACTCGTGTTTTGAATAATACGTGTATGTACTATAGAGTGATGCTTTCTCCTCACTTGTAACCATTTCATATTGACTTTCTACTAGGGAAGATGAGGATTTAGAAATATTATTACTGCCCCTCTCACCCCCAACAAGCTGCCTCATTCTCTCAATATGTGATTAGGTCAGAATTTCACATTAGATCAGTACCCAGTGTGTACGTATTATTGGCAGTCAAGGGCATGCCATTCATGTTGAGCCATGTGGGAATCCACGAGTACAGCAGAGCAGGAATTTTGGATCACACTGTCTGGTTCATATCTGGGCTGTGATATTTACTAGCTGCATGATGTTCAAACCATTACCCTCACTCCGCCTTGCTTTTCCCATCAGTAAAAATCATGCCTATAAGAACTGTCAGGGGTTTTTCTGAAGATCTGAAGAGACCTGACCAATTTAGTGCTAGAACACTACCTAGTACACAGTTAGAACCTGTCCTTCTCAAGTCGATTGTGACTCCTGGCGTGCCCATGTGTTCCGGAGTAGAACTGCGCTACAGTGTCTTTTGTCTGTTTGTCTGACTGTCATTGTTAGGGAAGCAGAGCGCTAGGCCTCTCCTCTCTGGTACATCTGGGTGGGTTTAAAAAGCCCACCTTCATGCTTATAGGCGGGGAGTATAGTGGCTCCATATGATAAACACTGGACTGTGAACCATAAGGTCCCTGGTTCGAGCCACCAGTCGCTCAGTAGGAGAAAGATGAGGCTTTCTGTTCCCTGGAGGATGTAAAGTAAAGCCTGGGAAACCCTCTATAGGGCCGTTGTGGTGGCATTAACAACCACAAAGGTCTGTAGTCGGTGCAGACTGCTTGTACCACCAGGAACCTTGTACTAATGATGAATATTGTTATTATCCCAGTGGTCATCTTGTATATAGTGTTTTTTCCTGGAGTTAACATTTGGGTTCCTTTTTCATGAATTTAGTTTTCTTTGTACTACTCACTCATTTATTTGACAGGATTGAGAAAATCCTTTGAAAAGTGGTCCACTACATCTGGTAAATACGTCAGTTCCGTTCTGCGTCCCCCGCCCCTGCCTTTCAGGAGCTCTCCTGTTCCAGCTCTCTTCAGGTCTGCTGAGAAGCAACTATTCTGGCTCATTATCCTGGAGATTGTATTCACCATTCACCCTATTTGGATCCCTTTTGTTTTAATGCATGTTATCTCTGACATTTTGGTGGAAACCACCTTTTCATAGCTTTCTGAATAGAAAAAAAGAATAGGAAGTAAATTTCTTGAGACCTTGAACACGGGAAAATGTTTTTTATCTCCTTATCAGCCTTGACTAAGTTGCCTGAGCATAGAATTCTAGATAGAAATGATTTTTCTTCATAAATCTAAAGGCATTGCTTCTAACTTCCAGAGCTGAGAGTTTATTTCCATTCCTGATCCTTTCTGCGTGACCTGCTTTTCCCTATATGCATGATTCTATTATTATTATTTTTATATACTGCATTGCCATCATTTTTTTATGACTTTTTCCTTGGATATTTGTTTTGAATACAATTCATGCACAGAATCAAGGTGCTTTTTTTTTTTTTACTTTGTCTTTTCCTGTTCTTTTCAGGTTGAACTCAGTGGGGAAGGTTTTCTCCTCTCTCCTCCTCTCTCCTAAATAAAACCTTGGACAGTCCCAAGGCTTTTCTGATTACTCTTACTCGTAACTTTTAAATAGGATATCAATTTAAGTTAAGAAACACAAAAACTCTGTACTGAGGTAATTCAGTCAAGGTAATAGCTAAAGTTTCCCACTTACTTAAAGTGACAGCTACTTCTTATCCCCTGGTGGGGCCTTTCAGTTGAAGGAGCCAGGGAACCAGGGAGCCTGGGAAGGAAGGAGATGAGAGTGGAGGAAAGGAAAGCCCTAACTTGTCTGTTGTTAGGTTCCATCGAGTCAGTTCTGTATAAGGTTTCCAAGGAGTAGCTGGTGAGCTTGAACCACTGACCTTATGGTTCAAACTGAACTTGCAGTCCAGAGCATTAATCCACAGTGCCACACACTCTCCTAAATTGACTCTCTGCTCTCTGGGCCTGGCAGGCGTTTAACTCTAACTTGTCTTTCTTGGATGCTCTTGTGCATTCGTTGCAGGCTCCATCAATGAACCTTCGAGTGTCCTTCCCAGGCCATGACTGGCTGTTCTCTTCTTGGCATACTCCTTTTGACAATCCACACTCTACACAGATTATTTTGGGGGAATTTTCATTTTTCTCCCCAGCTGATCACTTATAAATGATTTAGATACTTGCAGGCCATCTCTTTCTTTCTCAGATATGGACCATGGAAAATGTGTACCTTTCTCTCACAGGCCATGGGATTATAGTTAATTTCAGCTGCATCCCTCTGTTCTGCTGCTGGAGGCCATGTTAGTCTTACGTATTTTTTCCAGGGATTCCATTGGCTGTATCCCACTAGTGGGGGATACAGACCAGCCTCACTCAGTGGTCCTGTGGAAGCCCATCTTTAGACCTGAGGTGAAGCATGAGGCATACTCCACTCCTCCTGGTAGTTGTATTGGAGTGCTTATAACACACTTTTCTTCAGAGAAATCCCCTCTGAGTTTTCTTTTTACCCATGTTATATCTTCAGTGTGAGAAGTTCAAGAATTGTACAAATAGTCGCTGGCCATCTATTTTGGGGGTGGGGGTCTCAAAGCTCGGTCTATGTGGTGGTGGCAGCAGCAATGGGCTCAAATGTAGCAATGATTGGATTTTGAGGATGGCCCAGGACCGGACAGTGTTTCCTTCTGTTGCGCATAGGGTCACCATGAGTTGGAGCTGACTTGATGACACCTAACAACCACAACTCAAAGCTCACTTTGGAATGCTACATCTATTATATCTTGGCAATGAATATCTTATTACCCTGTCTTTATTAGATACTGCCAAAGATGGTATCTTGGCCCAACGTTGTTTCTATTGGCCAGAAAGTCAAAGAGTTGGGATTGAAGCTCAGGTCTCATTCCTCCAAATTCCATGTTTTACTACAACATCACAACAGCCCCTTGACTGAGACTCAGTAGTTCTTCTGCTATTGGGTCTCCTGACTGCCTTTTCTGGACAGTCCGTCTGGCAGCTGACCTGCAGACAGTGGCTCTGACGTCATCCACTAGCTGAGTACCTTGTAGGATTTGTCTTTCTTTTATAGTGTGTTTGCCCGGTGCTTTCCACAGATCATCAGGTATTTTATTTCTAGATTGCACTCCACTTAAGCAGCATTTTTCACTGAGCCTTACTCTAGATCCTATTAAAATGTGTCACGGTAAATTTATGTTGTATGAGTAACCATGCGTGTCTGAGAGTAGTGTAGAATAGTCAGCAGGTGACTACTGCCCATGGGTGATTCTGTGGAAATTGCCTGAGAATAGAACAACACAACACAGACACATTTCAAGAGGAGCTTTCTGTGAGATACAAAATTAAAATATCCTATCTTCAGGATGACCAGAAAGCACCTGAAGGGAGCTAGTTCTCATTGTTCATGACGTGGGCTCTTCTAAATCCGAAAGGCTACTTGGATCATCTATGATTTGACATATATATGATGTTGTTGTTAAGTGCTGTTGACTTGATTCTGACTCATCGTGACTCGGTATATGGTTTCTAAGTAGTGACTGGTGAGCTTGAACTGCCAACATTGCTGTTCAAACTGACCTTGCAGTCCAGTGCATTAACTCACAGTGCCATACCAGGACATATATATATGAAGCCACATTTAAAATATATTTATAAGTTGTGACAACTGACAAAAAAAAAAAAAAAGAAAAAGAAAAAAGCCACTCAGAAACCAGCAGCATCTCTTGAATTGTATTTCCGTTTATTTATTGTTGGCTTTCTGGAAATGGGCCTCCTACCATATGGCCATTCTACGCATTCAGTGATACCTTGTCTTACTCCAAGCCACATAGTCACACACAGAGGTTCTATAATGACAGCTTAACCACAGAGCCTCCTGGGAAATTAACATTCATCTACATTTTTGTTTCTGTTCAGAGAATTCCTCTTCAAGGTTCAAGTTTCTAAGCACAGCAGGCCTTAGCATCCTCCCACAGGGAGCAGGTCCACAGTGCCTACCTGCCCTTCTTTCTGATTGTTCATTATCCCTGTCAGGCAGGTGCTCCCTAATTTCCCCTGTGGCGAAAAGCCTCACTAGAGTGCAAACAGCCTCTGCCTCTCCCTGGCACTTTTAATTGTTAGTGTTTCTCATCCGGCCTCCAGAGGTAATTGGCCCCAGAGAGAGCCTGCAGGAAAGTTTGTCCTGAAACTTTCTTTGTTGGGTAGCTAAATGCAGGGACATCACAGCAAGCGAGGCCCATTGCTTTTGACTTCTCTCTGGAGATACCCCTGAGTTGAAGTGGAGGATGTTAGTTCTCTGCTCCCCTCCTCCTGAGACCAGCTGCCCCACAGAGGCCTAGAGGAGGTCATTTCTAGGTTAATTGGCATGCCTTATCATTTTCTCAACCCCCACCTACCTGTAGGCATCAGCATCACCTGAGGACTTGTTAAGAATGCAAATTCTCAGGTCCATTCCTAGACCCACGGAATCAGAAACTGGGAACGCCCCGGGGCCTAAGAGTCTTCACTTTGACAAGATCTTCGGGTGATTGATTCATGAATGCTACCATTAG